GTTGTGATGGGTAATGACTGTGTGAACCTGCCAAGGTTGGATGTTCTTCCGTAGAATATGCTTTTAAAATGAGACTGTGATAGACATAGTAGGCTGAATGGCCTTCTGTCCAGTCATGACTCTGAGCTAGAGGAAGCAGGATGCGTTTATTTTTTACACGAGCTGGAGTAGAAAAGATTACCAGAGGGGAGGCAGTTGCCAAGTGATGTTATCACTTGACTTCATCCAGAGATCCAAGTGATGCTCTGGGATCCGAGTTCAAATTCCACCATGCCAGATGGTGTAATTTGAATTCACTAACAAATCTGGAATTAACAGTCTAATGATGACCATGAAACCATAGTCTGTTATCGGGGGGACAAAAAAAGCATCTGGTTCACTAATGTCCTTGAGGAAAGGAATCTGCCATTCTAACCTGGTCTGGGCTACATGTGACTCCAGCCCCACAGAAATATGGTTGACTCTTAACTGCCCCCTGGGCAATGAGGGATGAGCCCTTGACAGTGAGGACCACTTCCCATGTATCTTTTTTATTTAAACTCATACAATTCAAGCAGGAAGTGAGAGTGGACGCAAATGGCAATAGCAAATTTCTGCAGTTAGAAGGAGTTGATAGATATGTTGAAAACATATGGTACCAGCTGTGCCTTGTTTGGTAACACATTTGCCTCTGAGGGTTATTAGCTTCAGTTCGCACTCCAGAGAATTGAGCACAAAAATCTAGGCTGACAGTTTTGCGCAGTACTGAGAGAAAGCTGCACGGTTAGTAGTATCAGTTTTGAATGAGGTGTTAAACTGAGACCCCTCCTGCTTTATTAGTGGACATAAACAACCCGACAGCACCATCTGGAAGAAGAACAGAGAAGTTCTCCCCAGGTGTCCCAGCCAATATTTATCCCTTAATGAACATAATCAGAAGCAAAATACACAGTCATTGTACAAGACATTGGTAAGGCCACATTTGGAGTGCTGCGTAAAATTTTGGCCACCGTGCCGTAAGAAGGATGCTATTAAACTGAAAAGGGTGCAAAAAAGATTCACAAGACTGTTACCAAGGTTGGAGGGTTTCAGTTATAAGGAAAGGCTGGATAGTCTGGAACTTTTTTTCCTGAAGCGTAGGAGGCTGAGGGATGACCTTATAGAAGCTTATAAAATCATGAGGGGCATAGATAAAGTGAATAGACAAGGTCATTTCCCCAGGTAGGGAGTCAAAAACTGGAGGGAATAGAGTTAAGGTGAGAGGGGAAAGATTTAAAAGTGACCTGAGGGGCAACTTTTTCACAGAGAGGGTGGTGCATATATGGAACGAGCTACCAGAGGAAGTGGTAGAGGGGGGTAGAATTACAACATTTAAAAGACGTTTGCATAGGTAAATGGATAGGAAAGAGTTAGAGGGACATTGCCCAAACACAGGCAAATGGGAAACTTGGTCGGCATGGATGAGTTGGGCCAAAGGGCCTATTTCCATACTTTTTTTCCCTTTATTTTTCATTCATGGGATGAGGGCATCGCTGGCGAGGCAGCATTTATTGCCCACCCCAATTGCCCAGAGGACAGTTAAGACTTAACCACATTGCTGTGGGTCTGGAGTCTCATGTAGGCCAAACCCAGTAAGGATGGCAGTTTCCTTCCCAAAGGACATTAGTGAACCAGATGGGTTTTTCTGACAATTGAAAAATGGATTCAAGATTAGATTGTTCATTCCAGATATATGGTGAATTCAAATTTCACCATCTGCTGCGATGGGATTTGAACCCAGGTCCCCCGAGCATTGTCTGGGTCTCTGGATTAACAGTCCAGCAATAATACCACTAAGTCATCACCTCCCTTGAATGACTCTTATTAGACCTTATTAGACCTCAGCTGGAGTATTGTGGGCGCCATATTATAGGAAAGTTGTGAATGTGTTGGAGCATGTGCAAATTGATTTACAGAATGGTTCCAGGAATGAGAAAATTCAATGATGAAGATAGATTGAAGAAGTTTATATTTTTCTCCTTGGAGAGAAGAAGGCAGAGAGGAGATTTGATAGACGTTTTCAAAATCATGAGCAGGCTGAATGGAATGGATAGAAAATGCTGTTCTGGCTCATGAAAGAACATAGAAGGAGAGGGATAGATTTAAAGTGATATGCAAATGAAACAGGGGTGACCTGAAAAGAAACATTTTCACACAGCAAGTAGTTAAGGTATGAAATGCTGGCATGGAACTGTTGAGGTTGAGATGATTAATTCAGGAGGGGCATTGGATGATTAATTGGACAGAAATGGTGTGCAGTGGTATTGGAGAAAAGGAAGGAGATCAGCACTAGGTAACACAACCAACACATGCACTATGGGCAACATGGTAGCTCAGTGGTTAGCACCGATGCCTCACAGTGCCAGGGACCAAGGTTTGATTCCACCCTTGGGTGACCCTCTGTCAGGAGTTAGCACATTCTATCCCCATGTCTGTGTGCGTTTCTTCCAGGTCCTCTGGTTTCCTCCCACAGTCCAAAAATATGCAGGTTAATTGAATTGGCCATGCTAAATTCCCCATAGTCTCCAGGGATGTGTAGGTTAAGGTGCATTAGCCATGGGAAATGTAGGGTTATGGGATAGTCGACGGAGCTGCATCTGGGTGGGATACTCTGTGGAGGGTCAGTATGGAGTTGCTGGGTCAAATGGCCTGCCTCCAAAATTTAGGGATTCTGTTCAATGGACTGAATAGTCTCTTTCTGAGCCATAACAGTTCTGAGATTATATTGCTATTGGTAGGAGCTTCTTGGTTGTTCATCAATTAAGGCAATACTTGCATTATATACTTTTAAAAGTACTTCATTGGCTGAGAAGTGCTTTGAGACTTCCTTAGATGATGAAATGTAATGTGTATGTCTCGCTTTGAAATGTTTCTTTTGATCTACGCCACAGGAAGAAACTTGGAATTTCAAGTGATCTTTTCCTGTTCTAAAAATAGAATCCTCATTGTTTTACTGCAGCATTTCCTGCTGAAATCCACTTCAGGTTCACATTGACTCCACAAATCAAGGGAGTCTGATTCTGACAGATGTTCTTGAGCCACACAAAGTAGTGGTCATACCATACGGGGAACTAATTGGCTGAAGGGCAGGGATGAATGAACAGCTGAGGAGGTGTGGCTGGGCCTGGGGTGAAGTGAGCTCACCCATTCCATCAAAGTCAATGTCAAAAGCGAGCCTTTGAACTGACGTTCCCACTGCTGTGCCTCTCCGTAGCCGATGATGCTGGGAACCTTAAATAACAATGCATCTCAGCTCTCAGGTGTGACCCTTCATCAGAACCTGGAGCTATTTCATGGTATGATGTGAAAAGGCCAGTAGAATCCGATTTAATAGTAACTTTCAGAAAGAAATGACTCTATACTTGAAAAGAAAAACAGCTTGCAGTGCTACAGTGAAAGAGCAGTAGGGAGGGGAACTAATCGAACAAGCTCTTTCACAAGAAGCTGGCACTGGTACAGTAGTCTTCTCTTTACATTACTGAATTCTTAAGCTGATATTGACTCCTGGAACGTAGTGAAATCACCCACAAGAGCGTGGGTTGGAGAAGCAGGAATGCCAGGCAGGAGTTACAAGAGTTACAGGAAGGTGTCTGATGAATTTCTTAGAGGTTTATTCGCGAGAAGTGGGTTACACGGACAAGGTATTGCCAATCCCTACTTCCTTAGTGAAGGAGCTTATGGTTTGAGGCTTTTTGAGTCACTGCAGATTTTATGGTGGTGGTACTCCCATGGTATTATCAGATACAGAACTGTCTCAGGAGTAAATCTGATGTCTTGTACTCACTGTAATTTAGAAAAATGAGGGGGATCTCATAAAAACATATAAAATCCTGAAGGAACTGAATAGGCTAGATGTGGAAGGAATGTTTGGGGGAAGTCTAGAACTAGGGGTCGCAGTCTAAGAATAAGGAGTAAGCCATTCAGTACTGAGATGAGGAAGAGTTTCTTCACTCAGAGAGTCGTCAAGCTGTGGAATTCTCTCCTACAGGAAGCTGTTGGGGCCAGTTCCTTAGATATATTCAAGAGGGAGGTGGACGTGGCCCTTGCAGCAAAAGGGGTCATGGGGTATGGAGAGAAAGTGGGAATGGGATACTGCTTCCTTTCTTGGGCATGGCATTGTTTCTTTAGTTGGACCCTAACAGGATTTGAGTTCAGGGAGTAATGTGCTCTAGTGCAGGACAGTTCAATGTCAAGTTGCATTTGCCTAACATCCTTCAATGTAAAACATCACAATATGCTTCACAGATGTAATTATCAAACAGATATATAACATTGAGCCAAATTATGGGATTAGGAGAGGCCAACAAAGGCTTGATCAAAGAGGCAGGTTTTAAAGGACGATCTTAAAGGCGAAGAGAGAGAGAGATGCAGAGGTTTCAGAACTTGACGTCTAAACAGGTAATCACTGGTGAAATGATTAAATTCAGAAACCTGCAGGAGGCCAAAGTTAAAGGAGTGCAGGAGTCTCAGATGTTTGTGGCACTGGTAGAGATTATTGAGGTAGAAAAGTCAAAGGTGTGGTTGCTTTGTGCTAGTGTCACTAGATTGGTCAACCAGAAGCCCAGGTGAATGCTCTGGGAAAAGATGTTTAAATTCCATCACATGCATTACCTCTTTTTTTTTTATACCATTGGTCTAGTCATGTCCTTTCTGGAGGATAATCTGCTGTCTTTACCTAGTCTGGCTTTCATGTGACTCCAGACCCACAGCGATGTGGTGGACTCTTACCTGCCCTCCACAATAGCCCAGCAAGCCAATCACTTCAAGGGGAATTAGGGTTGAGTAATAAATGTTGGTGTTGCCAGTAATGCCTGTGTTCATGAAAGAACGAAAAAGAACAAAATTGGATAATAATTTTAAAATTGAGCTGCTGGCTTGGCACTCAATGTAGATCAGTGAGCAGAGAACATTATAACATCCTGAAGGATTTCACTGCTGCCTCAGTGCCAATGGCGTTCTTGCAATTGATGCAACACAGATGTGGCACTGTGGCTTAGTTGGTTAATGCGCTTGCCTAGTAAACAGGAGATCCTGGGTTCAAATCCCAGCAGTGCCTGTGCTTTATGGCCACCATTCCTCGTTTAAACTTGTCTAAAATGCCATTTCAGGGTGGCACGGTGGCTCAGCGGTTGGCACTGCTGCCTCACAGTGCCAGGGACTCGGGTTCAATTCCACCCTTGGGTGACTGTCTGTGTGGAGTTTGCATGATCTCCCTGTCTCTGCTTGGGTTTCCTCCGGGTGTTCCGGTTTCCTCCCACAGTCCAAAGATGTGCAGGCTAGGTGGATTGGCCATGCTAAATTGCCCATAGGGTTCAGGGATGTGCAGATTAGGTGGGTTATGGGGAATGGGTCTGGGTAGGATGCTCTGAGGCTCGGTGTGGACTTGTTGGGCCGAAGGGCCTGTTCCCACACTGTAGGGATTCTATGATATAGATTCCCTACTGCTGTGCCTCTTGAAATGCCCTGTTGTTTCAAATGTTGAGTTTGCTTAAGGGGTATTTCCATTATTCATTTTACTCTAACTTCACTATGTCGGTGTTTCTCTGTCTCTCTATCCCACACACCTGATGAAGGAGGAGCGCTCCAAAAGCTTGAGATTTCAAATAAACCTGTTAGATCATAACCTGGTGTCGTGTGATTTCTGACCTTGTCCACCCCAGTCCAACTCCGGCACCTCCACACCACACAAACTGAGCTAAGTTAGAGGTAGGTAGATTTTGATCCTGTTTAATAGCCTGGGCTCATAGTCTCCTCATTACTCCAAAAGGCCCAACCAGAGCTCATCATGGATTGTGACGTTGGCGAGATGGCACCTTACAGAGAATCATAGGATCACTACAGTACTGGAAGCAAGCAATTTGGCCCATCAAGGCCACACCGACCCTCCAAAGGGCATCCCAACCAGGTCCAACCCCCTACCCTATCCCTGTAACCCTGCATTTCCCATGGCTAAACCACCTACCTCGCACATCCCTGGACTCTACTGGCAATTTAGCATGGCCAGGCCACCTAACCTGCACATCTTTGGAGTGTGGAAGGAAATCAGAGCACCAGGCAGGAACCCACACAGACAGTCACCTGAGGGTGGAATCAAACCCAGGTCCCTGGTGCTGCGAGGCAGCAGTGCTAACCACTGAGCCACTGTGCTGCCCCCAACTACATGTGATTGATTCAAGCTCTGAGCCTTTTAAGACTATGTTGTGCCTTCCATTTCCTAGAATCATAAGACCATAAGAAATAGGAACAATAGTAGGCCTTTCTGAACTCGAGCCTGTTCCGCCATTCAGGATCCATGTCCACTTCCCAGCATTTTCCCCGTAACCCTTGTTTCTTCCTACCATAGAATAGTTACAACAAAGAAGTAGACTGTTCATCCCCATTTTCTGTGCTGACTCTCTTAATTAATAATGCACTTCATCCCACTCACCTGCCTCTTCCTCATAACCCTGAGAATCTTTCCATTTTAGATGTTGATCCAATTCCTTTTTGAATGCTTCAATTCATCCTCCCTCCATCCACCCTCCGGTCGGATTGCAGCAGAGCAGCAGTTTTAGTCCCCTTATTTAAGGAAAGATCGCATTTCGTTGGAGACTGTTTAGAGAAGATTCTTTAAGATAATCCCTGGTATTAAAGGATTGTCTTATGAGCAAAGGTTAAACAGGTTGTGGTTCTGCTCAGCGGAGTTTATAAGAATGAGAAGTGATCTCTTTGAAACTTATAGGTTTCTTAAAGGGCTTGACAGGGTAAGTGCTGAGAGGATGTTTCCCCTCATGGGAGAGTCTAGGACCAGCAGGCATCATCTCAGAATAAATTTAAGGCTGAGATGAGGAGGAATTGCTTCTCTCTGAGAGTCGTGAGGCTTTGGAACTCTTTACAACAGAGAGCTGTGGGGGCAGAGTCCTTGTGTACGTTTAAGGCTGAGATAGAAAAATTCTTGGTCAGCTGTAGGAGAAAGGAAGGAAGATGAACGTGAAGAATTTTGGATTAGCCAGAATCCTGTTGAATGACAGAGCAGGCCCGAGGGGCTGAATGGCCTACACCTGTTCCTATTTCTTATAGTCTTATAACTCCCCTGCTCTTCTTCGATTTAGTCCATATGGCACGATGTACTGAGAGGGCATATCGGGGCTGTTAGGTTGAACATCTTACCCAAAAGGTGGTGCTCCTGACAGCACACGCTCAGTACTTCCCCAGATTTTGTGCTCAAGCTCAAGTGGGACTTGCATTTAGAGCCTTCAGAAATAGAGGGGAATGCACCAACAACTGAGCTACAGTCACATTTCCGCTGGACAACAGGGGCATAGTCATACCGTTGTACAGCATGGAGTCAGATCCTTCGGTCCAACTCATCCATGCCAACCAGATATCCTAAATTAATTTAGCTCCAATTGCTAGCATTTGGCCCGTATCCCTCTAAACCCCTCCCATTCATATACCCATCCAGATACCTTTAAATGTTGTAATTGTACCAGTCTCCACCACTTCCTCTAGCAGTTCATTCCATACACGGGCCACCCTCTGTGTGAAAACCTTGCCCCTCAAGTCCCCTTTAAATCTTTCCCCTCTCACCTTAAATGTATGCTGTCTAGTTTAGCCCTCCCCTACCCTGGGGAAAAGACTTTGACTGTTCACCCTGTCTGTGCCCCTCTGATTTTATAAACCTCTATAAGGTCACCCCTCGGCCTCCAATGCTCCAGGGGACATCGGCCTTCTCCGCCTCTCCCTATAGCTCAAACCCTGACATCATCCTTGTAAATCTTTTCTGAATCCTTTCCTATAGCAGGGAGAGGTGCTGCAGGAAATGCTAAGACCTTTTAATTCTGGTACAGATTTTTCTGAGGTAATATTGCTAAGGGCAGCAGTTTAAAAAAAAATATCATTCCACTTTTGGCCGCAGAGTGAGACTACAGCTGCACCCAAGTTCAAACTGCAAACTGTTTTGATACTGGCAGATCTCTCCCTCCTTCTCACTCTCTCCATCGGGGATGCTGAGGCCAATTTTAACACCTGATTTACTCCTCCTCCTGAACATGAAGTTTGAAGTTGTGCGTGTGTGTCTGTACATTTGTTGTCTGTATGTTTGTGCATTGCATAGTTATTGGGGGTGGGTCTGAAGTCCACACTGTACCATTACCTTGTCATGTCACTTCAATAGTAAAATTGCCATGCATTGCCAAGGAATAGCGGGAGGCTATTGACAGGTATCCAAGCTGAAATATTGAACCACAGTCGACCTTTTCTCATAAGTAAGCATATCACGTCCTAATCCTATTTTTTCAATCTCCAATCTTACAATACTGGATGAACAGAAATTTACTGTAACTGAATATCAGGAAGATCAAAGACTTTGTTGAGGTCCCTGTTCCAAACTCTGTTCCCTGGCTACTGTCTCCATTCTTCCCCATTGCCAGTCTGTTGCAGTGTTGGTGTCACATTTAATCTCTCCCCATTGACATTCTGACCTTCTATCTGTTCTATTTCTAAGATTGCCTATTGTTCCCCTCCATATCATTGGCTGACTTCACCCAGGCGGAACTCATCTGCGGTTGAAACCCTTGACCATGCATTTATTACTCCAGACTTGTGTTCCAATGCATTTCTGGCCCGCCTCCCACATCTGTCTGCTGTAAACCTGATGTTATCCAAAATCCTTTTACCTCGCTCCTAATTCATACTGATGTGTCTCACCCATGTACTCGCTGATCTGCACTGGTTCCAGTCAATCCATTTTAAAATTCTCATCCTTGTTTACAAGTCTCTCCATTCCCTCACCCCTCTCTTTCTCCGTTACCACAGAGGGTTGTGGAGGAGATATCTGCCCTTTTCTAATTCTGATTGCTTCAGTGTCAATGATTTTAGTTGGACCACTATTTGTGCCTAAGATCTGGAATGTTCTTCTAAACCCTTTCCACCTCTGCTTCCTCCTACAAGCCATTCCACCTACCTTTTAGGCCCAGCTTTTGGTCATCTGCCTAAATATCTCCTTATCTAGCTTTGTGCTAAATCATGTTATTTATGTCAAATTAAGCAAAAACAGAAATTGCTGGAAAAACTCAGCAGGTCTGGCAGCATCTGTGGAGAGAAACCACGTTAATGTTTCAGGTCGAGTGACCCTTCCTCAGAACTCATTGCTCATATTAAGCAATGTCAGATGCTTTACATATGCAGATTTAATTTCCTGTGTTTTGACTGTGGGGATTGCTAGTTGTCTTGCTTAGACCATGAGGTGAATTTGAAACATTGGGCTCAGGTGCACTGAGGTGCATTTGTATAGTCTGATAACGGCATTCAAAATCATGAAGGCTCTGAATAGTTAGGGAAGAGTGTTCCCATTTGTGGAAGGGTTGAGAATGAGAGGGCAGAGATGTAAGGGACAGTAATTGTTTAAAGAAACCATATGGTGCCCCAAGGAAATAGTTTCTCACTCAGCGATGGTTAGGATCCGGAGTGTAGTAGAGGCATTACCTGTGAGTGTAGTAGAGGCAGGTTTGGTTGAGACATTCAATAAGGAGCTGAAAAGGAAGAATGTACTAGGTTATGTGGAGAAGATAGGGGTATGTACTAGGTGAACAAACAGGAGGCTGGAAGAACACAGCAAGCCAGGCAGCACCTGGAGGAAAGGAGCAGTCAATGTTTCGAGTTATTAGCCTTCTTCCTTCAGGAAACGTTGACTGCTCCTTTCCTCCAGATGCTGCCTGGCCTGCTGTGTTCTTCCAGCCTCCTGTTTGTCTACCTTGGATTCCAGCATCTGCAGTTTTTTTGTCTCTAACCTATGCACTAGGTGAATTGGTCTTTGGAGAGATGACACAGACAGGACAGCTAAATGGTCTCTTTCTGCGATGTTATCATTCTGTGTATGCTTTCTACTCTGTTATCATTCTGTGTTTGCTCAAGCAATGTGTGTGTGAGACTGTCAGTTTCTGATGCCATTCTGGCACATGGACAGAGAACCAGGGAAAGGTTAAAATTGCCCTGGCTAGATTTTTCAACCTTTGTGTAGAGGAGCCACTGTAAATACTGCCACTCTCTGAGGGATCCCCCGTATACATTGAATCT